AGTGGACTACATCCACCCTGATTGAATTGGCCCTGTCAACACTGGTTCTCCACTTGCAAAGTAACTCCCTGCTCTCCATGTGTCAGTATATAATGCCTGCATCTGTAACTTTCACTCTATGCATCTGAAGAAGTGAGGTTTTTACCCATGAAAGCTTATGCCCAAATAAATCTGTTAGTCTTTAAGGTGCCACCAGACTCCTTGTTGCTATTACAAATCCTGTAATCTTCAGGATTACAAATCAACTAAATGGGAATTATTATCTGTACCTACTCATTTTTTTATTTTATTTTCCACTTTTAAGCAGGTGAGCATGACTGGAGAACAAGTGAGCATTCCTGAATTAGGTGGAAGAAGGACCCAGCTTGCACTGAGGAAGGAGCTAGGAATGGCTAGGAATGGCTGCTCTCCATTCAGGAAGATTTATGAAATAAACATGTATGGTAGCTGAGGAGAGGAAAAGAAGGAGTTAACAGCAAGAACACTGATCCAGAAGTCTGAGGAAAAAGTAATGTGACAATACCAATTGAGAGAGACTGGAATTTTCTTTTTTCGCCCCAATTTTTTTCTAATTTGTTTTAGTTTTGAGCTTTTTGGTAATACAAACATCCTTCTCCTTGAAAGGGTCTGCCTAACTTTGCTGAGAATTTCTACCAGCTTGCAAACTTTCTGACAAACTTCCAGAATAGCATACAGCAAGATCTCTAGTCTTCACTATTGTCCCCCTAAAGAACATAGCATCTTCTCTTCAGACCGGCACTCAGTCAGGATTTAAAAACTTTGTGCGACAGCGTCTCTGTGGACATTGAGAAATTGTTTATTTCTGGACTTGTTATCTATAGCTATCGAGACAGTATAAAATCATTAAAACTATATGAAGATTACAACTTATCTGCAATGCAGCCATTTGTAGAAACTCACCTGACCAAAGGCATCCAATTAATAAAGATACTTGAGGGAATCAGAATATAAACTTAAATGAAAATAATTTACTCTCTAATCTTTCCCATTAAGTTCCTTTGTTCATACAATAAAGTTAAATGACTCAAACACAATTTTAAATTCAGATATTTTTTCTTTGCAATGGCTACTTCAATCTCATAGACTCATAGACTTTAAGGTCAGAAGGGAACATTATGATCATCTGGTCTGACCCCCTGCATGCTGCAGGCCACAAAACCCTTCCCTGGACTCTGCTGTTGAATCTTTCCTTCTACACACCCCATCTCTCAGACTCTGGCATTTCTAACAACACTTTCAATAACTCCTAAAACTGTAAGCATAGATTTATGTGATGATTCAAAGGGGACTTGTGAAGGGAAAACCTCATTGCCAATGCTGCCTAGTGGTCAGGTAGGGGCATGGCAAGTTTTTTCTTTCTTTCTGGGCACTCCCCTTTTTACAGCTATTCCTGACTTGCAAAGATCTGTGTATTCAATCATTCAGCTCTCTGGCCAGGTCACGTGTTTGAGGCCACCCCTTTTGGGGTATATATAAAGAGTCCAACAACAGGGTAGCCTTCTGGGTTAGATAAGGGATCCCCAGGCTTCCCCTTGGGTCGGGGTCTCAGTGTCTGGACTCTTCTGACTTTAGGGCCTTCCTTCAACTAGATTCCCTGCACCAGGAATAGGCTTTTGTAGTTGGCCCCTCCTTAGGGCTTGGTCGGGGAACCCAGGGCCACCCTCTCCACCAGGTTCCAGTCCTGGGCTCAGTTGTAAGCAGCTAAATCCTGCACCCTAGAGTGCTGTGCAGGTGGTACCATGGATCAGTTCCTACCAGTCTGATCTCTTCACAACAGGTAAAGCTCACAAATAATTGAACACAAAGGTAAAGTCTCTAAAGTCTTCAGAGAATCAAAGGTCCCTGCTTTGTTGGCTTGGTAAGGTCACCACAGTTGGGCTTCAGGCAGCAAGATCTCCTGCAGTGCTGCTTCCTAGGAGTTGAGAATATAGGTCAGTTCACTGGCACTATCTGCCAGCTACTGACTCTGCTCCACTTTTAAGCTCCTCCTCCAGCCTGTGCAAGCTTGGCAGGGTAGAGCTGCCTGGCTGCAGAGCAACTCTTTAACCCCTTCTTTTCCAGTGTGTATTTCCATTCTGGAAAATATCCGTATGCCATTAGTGAAGTTGCTAACATATTTGGTAGACAACGGTGACCCGCTGCCTACAGTTCTGATGCAGATAGATATTCTTCTTTTTTTACTTGAGAAATCTGAACAGATCATGTATTCAGATTTCTTCCTGTTCTTGCAGCTGACTGCCTTAAACATCCCATCTGTGGCTTCTACTAGGTGAGCGCAGAAGCACTCACTTCTTTGATAAAATAGATGTTGCAGTGATTTGACGTAAATGAATTTTTCATGCAGGCTGTTTCTGTGGGAATGCGGGTGCTAAATTCACCTGAAAAGCATATGCCTGGCAAAATTGCCATGATCCAAGGAAACCATGATCGTTGGCTGACAATGAATGCTACAGAATGAATAACAATACATTGTTTAAGGGAGGCTTCAATCCAAGCATTCTGAGCGTTTAGGCTCGATCCTTGCATAACAGCTGCAGTCTATGAGATACACCCAAATTACAGCAGTAATTGGCTAGTTCCAAAGGGAATCACACTACACGTACCGTGTGGGTGTTTCAGCATTACGCAATGTAAATCAGGAAAGTGTGTTGCAAATTAGACCCACCAGCTCTACAATAATGTGCTCCCCAGCCTCTGCCCCACTCCAGTTTATTTACAGTAGACAATACAGTACGCTGAAGTATTCATCACTAATTGGGATGCTGAGAGCAAAGGGCATTTCTCACTGTTGAAATGAAGCAAAAGGTTTCAGCATTCATCCTGATTAAAGAAGAAATAGAAGGGTACATTGTGTAAGAAATGCAAAAGGAGACTGCAACATCCGTTAGGGTTCTCTTATTTCCTCTTCTAAAACCAAGGATGTGAGAAAAAGACAGGCAGTGAGTATGAAAAGCCATTGGGTTAGATTCACCTCTGCCACTGGTGCGGAGTAGGGCAGCTTGCATCTCCTTGTGCTAGTGAGGGTTACTATGCTGCTTCAGGGAGATATTGCTGCTTGCTTTCTCCAGGGTTTCCGTCATGAAACAGCAGCTTTACTCTAGCTCAGGGGTCCAGGAGAGGCCTGTTGACTGGCACTACTGAAGAGATCCATGGAATTACTACATCACCTTGCTGCTGATTTACTCCTAACACCCTCCTAAGCCAGCACGACCCAATGCTCGGGTTGCACTATCTGATTATTGGTCCCCAGTATTGGAACCACTTCTTCCTCTAGCATCTGTGTCAGCAGAAGCTGCTGTAGACCCTGGATAAATTTGGCCTTCTAACTCCTTCGAGCCTCTTTCTCTTTGCCACTGAAAGAATACAAATGAACAACAGTATACAGTCAGCAATACCGATCATAATTGCCACTTGCTCATTGTACTTGTTAGGTTCTAAGTTCATGAGAGCATGTATTTTATTATGTTCATTTTGCATATGAAGTGGTCTGTACGGTTATGGGGTTATCTAAAGAAAGAATAACTAATGTTATACAGACAAAAGTTCACAAAACATTTAAAACGTGTGATTTATAAATTGTTTTAGCCACTTGAAATGTGCAATAATCATTCAGGAATGTGCTTCTTTCAGTGTCTTATTGCTATTATGAACTGGAAATTTACATACAATTTTTTTAAAAAAAGCCTTCCAGTGAATTTAGTGATCTGTTGAGAAGGATTTGACATTGCTGGAAACAAATCGCCCTCTGATTAGCACTAAGTTCAGTTGCATATTAAAAACTGTATTAAAAATTGTAAGCTATCACTTTCATGCTCAAGAGGTTTTCTGGGGCCTGCTTGTGATCTGGGTCTAGCAGCCATCAGTCTGCAGGCAGTCAGCCTAGAGTAAGGTGGGGGAGAGCTGGGCTTTAGAGAGCAGTCTGCTTTGTCTCTCTCTTTTTTGGGAAGTTCTTGTGTGTTATCATTCCGAATGCTAAGAAATAAAGTACTCTTATGTTGTAACCTTTCAGCAAGAGTATTGTATGTTTTTAAGCTAACTTCTCTGTGTGTATGTTGTGAACATGACAGAAAACTGGCAATGAGGATGGTATTAGAGAGCGTAAAGATAAAGTGGCTACCTATGGCAATATGGACAGTTTTTCTAATTTAATGAAAAAGAGGAAGATTTTGCAACATATACTCAGACTTGAGCAGTATTTGTATGCAAATGCTATAGAAGATACTGATGAACAAAGGGCTGTTTTTCTAACGTTGGTGAGAAAAAACACATTTACAGTGCTTAAAGATTTGGGTTTTTCACAAAAACCTTGTGAGCAGGAGTGTAAGCACACAACAGAGATTCTAAAGAACATTATGTACCTATCACAAATTTTTTAAACAAGGATATAAATTAAATCTAAGAAATCAAACAGAAAGGGAATGTATCTCTGAATTTTTGGCAAGCCTTTAAAAAAACCTGTCTGCTACTTGTTGTGTTGATCATTTTCTGAAAGAGGATCTCAGAGATCAATTTGTTTTTGGAGTAAAACACCTTGAAATTAAAGAGAGGCACAACTCACTCAACCTTACTGGTTGTCTACAGACTGGCTATTGCTAGACCGGGATTGCACGCTTACCTACAGATCCCTGTAGTCTACAAGCAGGACCAGAAACCTCCATGAGCAATTAAAGTGGTGGCTTTCAGTTTTCAATATACCATGAGTTCTGGAGCCATTTTAGATTGATAGTTTGGACCCTCATCCTGCTTAACTTGAATTAAACAGGTGTCACTGACGTCCTTGAAGCTAAGCGTGTGTACAAATATTTGCAATATCAGGTTCTTATCTTGTAAGACCTCCGTGGAAGAGTTATTTTCTTTTTGTCTGTGTGATGCTTTGGGGTTTCACCTAGACCAGTAATGGGTTGTGTCATTATCTGCCCTGTGACTTTGGTGCTTTTATGCTGTGCAGCTTTACCTTAGATCCCTGGCACCAGCAGCCTGCTCACAGCACAATGGCTTCACCCTGGCTTCCACCAGCCTGGTTACTCTTTGCAGGGTGACACCAACAGCCACTCCAGTCCTGAGTCTCCCCAAAACCATCTCCCCTGCAGTGCCCAGACCCTCATAGAAGTTAAGTTTGCAGCCTCCAAAGAGACAGAACACATACCAGCCTAGTAGTGTGCCTGAGGAGTTTACCCTTCAGTTTAATGCACTGCACTGATGATTTTGTAATAAAACAAGAATAAGTTTATTAATAAGGAACAAAGATTTAAGTGATAATATGTAAGACTAGCAGAGACAGGCTTGGTGATAAGTCAAACAAAACCCAATCTGTTTTCTAGTGACAACAATTTAATTTCAGCAGGTTACAAGCTTTGTCTAAGCAGGTTTCTCACCAGGTATTCTTGGCTTTCCGGTTAGGCAGATCCACTTTTCATGAACTCAAAGGGTGCTCCTTCCCTTTGTCCCTGTAGGCTGTGTCTACGCTGCGCACCGTACAATGGCGCAGCTCTCCTGGCGACAAAATAAAATCACCTCCAACGAGGGGCGGTAGCTTCGTTACTGGGAGCATGGCTCTCGTCAACAAAGTGCTGTCCACATAGGTGCTTTTCGGCGTTAAAACTTTTTTCACACCCTTGAGCGACCAGTTTTAACAACAAAAGTGCCAGTGTAGACAAAGCCTAAGTGATGGATGCCTCAAAGACTTTTAACAGTTCCTTATACCCTCAAAGTTTATCTTTGTTTTCAAAGTCAGGACGCCCTCCTGGGGGCTCAGCTGACACCATGTTAATTTTCGCAGTCTCCTGTGATTTTACAATGCAAATGATCTTCCTGCAATTCCGGGTGCAAATGAATAGTCACACCTGGCTTGATTTGCAATTGAGCCCAAGAGAGCTTGGCCATTCTGCAGCCTGGGTCTGTTTACAGACTCCAAAACATAACATCAGAGAGTATCCATAATTTCACATAAAGCGTTATGTACATTTCAGGGTGATATGAGTGACTGTGTATTATTAGTTTTCAGATGATATATTAGAAGACACCCTTTCAATAA